GGGTGTTGATTGTGGATCCAAGTAAAATGAAATCCTTGACAACTTCAATCTTTTCTCTGTTTATCATGATGTTGCTTATTGATCCAGTTGTGAGGATCTTTGTTTTCTTTATGTTGAAGTGTAATCCATACTGAAGGCTGTGGTCTTTGATCTTCAAGTCCTCTTCACTTTCAGCAAGCAAGGTTGTGTCATCTGCATATCGCAGGTTATTAATGAGTCTTCCTCCAATCCTGATTCCACGTTCTTCTTCATATAGTCCACTTCCTCGGATTATTTGCTCAGCATACAGATTGAATAAGTATGGTGAAAGGATACAATCCTGGCACATATCTTTCCTGACTTTAAACCACGCAGTATCCTCTCGTTCTGTTTGAACGACTGCCACAGATGGGTGGTGGGCTTTAACTTTAAATCCCCGGAATTTCTCATGAGCCATCACCGATTTACAGTGAATGTGACTTACCTGAACAGTGTTTCACCGGCTTTGAAACAACCAAATCCTTTGAAAAAAGGTCCTGCTGTGCGTACCAGGAAAGTAAAGCCAACACGTTCATTTGCACCTGCCGCTTATGGTGCGCTATGATTTTAGGCAAATTGATCAATATGTCTGTGCCTTAGTTTCCTCACTGGTAAAATGGGGCTAAAAACATCACTTATGTCAGGATTCAGCGAGTCAGTATTTGTTGAGTGTTTATAACAGTGCCTGACACAAAAAGAAATGCCATTGAGTCGCTTCTGACTCATGGAGACCCTCCGTGGGTCAGAGTAGGTCTGTGCGCCATAGGGTTTTCAGAGGCTAGTGTTTCGGAAGTAGATCACCAGGCCTTTCTTTTGAGGTGCCTTTGAGTGGACTCAAACCTCCAACCTTTCGTTAGCAGCTGAGCTTGTACCACTAGAAGTCCCATATCTGTGCAAGCTGTTGTCACTAGAACTAGGAGGGTTATTTCCTGGAGTGGCAGTGGCTTAAGGAACCATGAATACGGTGTCAAGGTCTTTGAAAATGTTTTTGCTTTGAGACTTTCCTCTTCGTTGGCAGACATTCCTAATGAGAAACTGATTCTCAAAGGGGAAAATAATTTCTGATTTTTTTTTTTTCCTTTCTGTAAAGGAGCATTTCTTCCCCAAGAGGAAAGGGAAGCCCAGGGTGTGCTTAGGTCTCTGGTGTGGGTGGCTGGGGTGCCTGGGGGTCGGTGGGGCCCTTTCTGAGCTGGGAGGAGGGGCAGGCTGGGAGAAAGACCATGATAGGGCCCTGAGTGAGAATTTAGTAAATGCTGGTGGTTGCTGCTCCCCGAGCCCCCTACCCACCTCCCCGGGGGACTCGATCTCCTGTTTGTCTGAGGCCTCGTTCCTCCCCAGGTACCTCATGGCGGGACCAGGCTCGAGCAGTGAGGATGAGGGGGACTCTCACAGTGGCAGCAGCGGGGATGAAGCCCCCAGGCTTCCTCACAAGGTCTGATGCCTCCTCCAGGGCTGGGAGGGTGCCGTGGAAGACATGGGTCAGCTGTGGTATCTCCATTTCTCCTGCCTCCTGCACGCACACCCCCCACAGTCACACTCACGCTGCCCCTGCCCCTTGTGACCCCGCCCACTTACCTGTCCCACTTGCCCTCCTTAGCCCCCACAGACCACAACCAAGCCCCCTCAGGCAGCAGGACCCAGCTCACCCAAGAGGTCCCCCGCCCCTGAAGAGACCAAACCAGCCACACCAGGGGCCCAGGAGGATTCTGACGCTGAAGGGGAACCGTCAGGTCAGAGACTGAGCAGGGAGGGGCCGGGGGCTGGACGCCTGGGTCTGAGGGAGGAGGGGGCTGGGGGCTGGACTCCTGGGTATGAGGGAGGAGGGGCTGGGGGCCCGGACTCCTGGGTCTGAGGGAGGAGGGGGCCGGGGGCC